TAGTAGAGACGGGGTTTCACCATGTTGACCAGGATGGTCTCGATCTCTTGACCTCGTGATCCACCCGCCTCGGCCTCCCAAAGTGCTGGGATTACAGGCTTGAGCCACCGCGCCCGGCAGGAGAAGCAATTTTCAAAGGCTTGAGAAGGAGAGTGGAGCATTCTGGGACGCTAGAAAAAAAAATAGAACAGGAGTGCTGGGCACCAGTAGAAGATTGGCCTGAGACAAGTATAATTGAAAGTCATTAGAAGGCTTCAAGAAAGGGCAAGAGGATCAGAACTTTATTTTTAAAAGATTAGTTGTGGTGTGGGGAAAAGACAGAAGCAAGCAAGGTGTGGGTGTGAGAGACCAGCTAGGTTATTGCAGGAGTCTAGGTGAGAAATGACAGCTTGTGCTGGGTGTTGGCAGTGGATGAGTGGGGTGGGACTGCTTGTGTTGCTCACAGTGTCTGGAACATAAGCGTGTAACCTAGGTGTTAAAAACCTAACTCTGCCACTTATTAACTGTGGCTGAGAAAGTTTTTTAATCTCTTATCTCGAAGGTTGGGAGAATGATAGAACCTATATCACAGGGATGCTATATGGATTAAATAATATAAAAGTTTAGTGGTGTCAATATGCTGTAGAGGGTAAAGCTTGAACAATGGGTAGATGATGGAGCAGTTAGAGACGGGAAACCTAGTTCCATTTGGGATACCAAATGGAGAAATCAACTGGTGTATCAAATAACGCAGGTGGAAAACTGGGTGGAGAAATCTGGACTGGAGATAACATTTGAGAGTTGCTGATGTCTAGTTGTTGATGACTTGAGAATGAATGATATAGTCCAGAGTAGAGCAAGAAGGGAAAGTTTGGATGACCTCATGGAAAGCCAACATTTAAGAATCAGAAGAGGGCGGGACACAGTGGCTCATGCCTATAATCCCAGAATTTAGGGAGGCCTAGCAGGATTGCTTGAGTCCAAGAATTCTAGAGCAGCCTGGGGAACATAGTGAGATCCTTGTCTATGGTCATTATCTATATCTTAAGAATCAGAGGAATGCTCTTAATTCCCTACTCTTTCATAAGGAGAGTAGTAGAATGGAGAGAGTTGGAGTGAATTTTCATTTTATCCTCAATTTCCTCATCTGTCAAATGGGGATAGATTCTCTCTCTAAAGATGATTATACCCTCCCCCATTTCATTTATTACATTGTATTGCATTTTTTGCTTATAAGGATTTGTTCAAACTCAAGAAATGTGTTTTGTGTCTTCAACAGCAAAACAGGGTACCACAAAGACAACTAATACTGAGCTCTAAGCATTTTACATACATATTATTATTCAGTCTTTGCTACAACCTTTTAACTTCTATTTCTGTGTGTGTGACTATAGACGAGGAACTCCGGCATGGAGAGCCTTTAATAGTCTAACCAAGGACATATGGATAAATAGTGGATGGTGAACTAGAACTAATTTGAATTCAGTAAATGTTAACATAAGCCATATAATAAATGGCTGTAGTTAATTAATGTTAGTTTTCCCTCCAACTAAATTTGGTTCAGGAATTGTGCTTGATGAATAATATTATTGCTGCCTTCTGAGATGTTTGGTAATATTTATTTGTTCAATTTGCCTTATTTAAAATAATATACTTTTAGTGGCCGGGTGCAGTGGCCTGTAATGCCAGCATTTTGGGAGGCTGAAGAGAGCGGATCACTTGAGGTCAGGAGTTTAAGACCAGCTTGGCCAACATGGTTGAAACCCCATCAGTACTGAAAAAAAAAATACAAAAATTACCCGGGCGTGGTGGCGTGCCTGTAGGCTCAGCTACAACTGAGTAGGAGGCTGAGTCAGGAGAATCGCTTGAACCCAGGAGGTGGAGGTTGCAGTGAGCCGAGATGGCGCCACAGCACTCCGGTCTGGCGACGGGAGACTTAAAAAAAAAAAGTCGGGGAGGGGCCGGGCGCGGTGACTCATGCCTGTAATCCGTCTCCAAAAAAAAAAAAAAAAAAAAATCAGTGATACTTAAAATAAATAAATAAATAAATAAATAAACTAGAGGAAGAGAGTGTGTCCTGTACATTTTGGTGTTATTTAAATTGTTGGGTCATTAAGTTTAGTATCTGCAATCATTCTGGGGAAAATAAATTCCATTTCTAATGTTGCAATCAAGAAAGTAGATGACTTGGCTGACAGGGGTGATACAATGGAGGACAGATAATTCGGAGCCCTGAGTCTTGGACTCTAGTTCTTAAATTACTATGTTCATTCACCAAAAATTTGTTAAAGCTCTTTCAACATGCCGGCACTGTGCTAGTCGCGCCGTGACCTTGGGTATGGCTCTAGGTCACCTTAAAAGGAGTACGCCATACCCTCCAAGAGCTCTTAGGGGCTTCATAAGGATGCGACTCAGAGAAGGGAGGGAAGCGCTCCAGACGCAGCGCTCCATGGCCCTCCCTCCAGCACCTCGAAAATCTAAGATTCTTCTCTGAGGTAACTCCGCAGCAAGAAAAACTACATCAAATATGGCGCGGCCAGCCTCTCCAGGCGTAGCTACCATCTTCTCGGTAGTTCCAGAGGCGGGCGGGTACATCACGCATGCGCGGCCCAGGCGTCTCTGGCACGCCTGCGCGGCCGCATCGCCTCCCCCGCCCCTCCCGCCGCCGCCGCCGCCGCTGCCGCTGCTGCTGCACTGACGGCGGTTGCCCGCGCCTCAGGTGAGTGAGCGCCTCCGCCAGGCCCGCGGGGAACGCGCGGCGTGGCATGCGGGGGCGTCGCTCCTTTGCCCTGCCCCTTCCCCGCATCATCTCCGCGGCTCGGCGAGACCCTGGGGGCCGGTGCTGCCTGCCTCCTTCGGGTCCCCGGGAACCTCTGCCCCGCCCCGCCCCGCCCGCTGGACCTGGGTCAGCTGGGCTTCCCTCGGCGGCTCCCCGCACCTAGCCCTCCCGCACAGCGTGCGGGCAGCAAGAGAGCCTCCCTCCGGGCTCAACACCCTGGGTCACAGGGACGCCCCCCGCAGGCGCGAGCCCCTCTCTCTCTCTGGCTTTGCAGGCGGCAGAGCTCGGTGGGCCTCGGGGTTGCTCATCTATCTACCTCGCCCGCCCCAAGAGCCCAGATGCTTGGAAGAGGGGCCGTGAGCACCCCTTGCATCTGTGTGGTCCCAAAGCAGCAAAGGGTATTCTCTAACGGGACCTTAGGACGACCCTGCCGGGGAGAGGCTTCTTAGCCCCACTTAACTGCCGAGGAAACTGAGGCACGGGAAGGTGAAGTGCCGTGCCCAAGGTCAGGCAGCTGACAAGTGGCAGGGTCGGCTCTCTACTCAGGGTCTAGGGCTCTTAGGCCAGTGAGGTTGGAATTTGATCTCGTACCTTTGAAATATTTTTGAAATCACTTGTCATCTCTGAAGTTGCTGTCGAACGTCATAAAAGTAGGCTGCACAGAGAAGATTTTCTTGTCGGAGTACAGTTGAGGTGTTACTGTAATAATAATAGCGTTATCAATATAAGATCTAACGTTCTTCCAGCACTCGATGTGTGCCGGGTATCTTGCTAAGCGTTTTATTAAGATAACCTCGCATAACACCTCAGCATTTCCCAGTTCACACGTTTCCCCCTTCCTTTTCATGAAGCCCTTTTTCTTTTTTTTTTCCCTGCAGAGCTGGCCTCCCTATCACAGGTAGCCTAGGAGCCCCTTGGCTTAGGAGGCCGGGAAGCTCTCCTTTGGTGGTTTACTGACACAACAAGAGTGAGCCTTTCCTTGCCGTCATCCAGATTTCCCCCCATTACCCTGGCCCTCTGGGGATATTATTAGCCTTCCTTTCCTGGCTGCCAAGAGAGCAGGACTGGGCTGACTGGGCTAGTTGGGCGGGCTGGACTTGGAGGTGACAGAGCAGATTTGGCTAGAACTCATCTCCTTCCGGAGCTTTCTGGCTCTGCCCCAAGGTTGGGCTTGAACATTTCAGTATTTAAGATAAAGTAAGAAGAGAGAGAACATTGATAGAGTGGTGCTGAATTTAAGAAGCCTCCCATGATTTAAAGTTCCAAATGAACAACTATAAAAATATGTGAATGTTTCTCCCCCAAAATAACTAGCTCAAACTGTCTTTTTTCTCCCTTAGCAAATCCTCCTCCACATTTCAAAGGCTCCACTAAATCACCACCTTCTCTGTGAAGCCTTCCCTGCTTGATTTTCCCAATTAGAATTACACGTTCACAAAACAGGGTCTTAGCCTGCGTACTTCTAGTCCCTTGAGGGCATGGGCCATCTTTGCAGCTCCAAATACCCGGCTCACAGTAAATCCTTGGTAAGGACTTAGTGAATTTCCACCGCCCCTTTTCATTACTCAAACGGTGGTGTTCTTCTGCTGTCCTTTGTTCCTCCTTTCTGCCCTTCAGTGTCTCTTTGCTTGTCTCTTCCTTTAGATTCAATTTCTCATCACCATTTACCACTCAGAGGCTTCCATCCACCCTGTTGTTTTTGAAAACTTGCAGATAAGAGTCTTGCATCAAAAAGTCTGTTTGTGTTACTCAAAGGTGTGCTCACAATTAAGCTGCTTTTGTTTTATTATTATTATTTTTTGAGACAGAGTTTTGCTCTTGCCCAGGTTGGAGTGCAGTGGTGCAATATCGGCTCACTGCAACCTCTGCCTCCTGGGTTCAAGTGATTTTCTTGCCTCAGCCTCCCAAGTAGCTGGGATTACAGGCACCTGCCACCATGCCTAGCTAATGTTTTGTATTTTTAGTAGAGGCTGGATTTCACCATGTTGGCCAGGCTGGTCTTGAACTCCTGACCTCAGGTGATCCACCCACATTGGCCTCCCAAAGTGCTGGGATTACAGGGTGAGCCACCGAGCCTGGCTGCTTTTGTTTTATTCTAAATTGTTACTTTTGAAGGTGGAGAATGCCTGTTTATTCCCAAGAGTGGAGTTGGTTTATGCTGTTTCGGTGTAAGGGCAGTTTTCATTTGTATGTTGCAGCAGGATAGCCTGAAGCTTACACCCCATTAGTCTGTCCCTAAATGCATGAGAGATCCATTTTTACATTATTTTGTCTTCTGTGGCTCACTGCCCCTGGTGGTATCAAAGTAACCACAATTTTTACTGTATATCATTAGATGGCATTTATAATAATAAATATTCAAAACAGTCCTTTGGGAGGCAGCAGATATGTGCATAGATTCTCTTATCTAAATAAAGCTTCTTAAAGAGTTTTTCCAAATAATTTTCTGTAAATATACTGACTATGAGTAAGACATGGATGTATGGTGCTGGATAGTAGAAGATTCTCAGTTGAATGAAACAAGCTCCTGTTGAAAGAGCTTACTAGCTAATTGGGAAACATTGACTGCACTAAAATAAAGTCTAAAAATTCCTATATTAATGTTACAAGCAAAGCAAAATTCGACTATAATGGAATAAGATATTCCTACATGGGATGTTTCATAAAATTGTATGTTATTCAAGCTGAAAAGGACTATTGAGTAATTAAATCCAACCTTCTCACTTTTATAGACATCATCCTGAGAATTGAACTTGCTCAAGGTCACAGAACTGGGGCTACAACTTGAAATTCGAGACTTTTTAGCCATTAAAGGTTTATCAGTGTTTCTTCTCAGTGAATTCATCCTTAAAGACATTAACCAGCAACTCTATAAAGATTCCATGTATGTTTTTAGAACAGGGGTGGGGGAAGACATACAAAAACATGATTCGTGTCTTCAAGGAGGTTATGGTCTGTTGGGGAAGAGTAAAGCAGCATTCTCTAATGTTGAAGCCTGTGTATATATAATTGTTAAATTGTATGGTAAAGGGACTAATGATATCATGGGAGTTGGGGAAAGGGGGCAAGAAGGTTCAGTATGAGCTGCTATGGTGAGACCACTTTGGGCTTTGACTTTCTGGGCTTTGACAGGTGGATAGGGTCAGAATTAATCAAAAGGACAAGGAAAACATTTTGAATCAGGAGTGATAAAACCGACATGATAGCAATGCCTGCCACGGTTAAGGGATAGTAAAAAAAAATTGGCTTGGCTGGCTTAGAGCAGTGGTTCTCACCCCTTAGTGTGCACCAGCATCACCTGGAGAGCTTATTAAAACCAATATTCCTGGGCTCGACCTTCAGAGTTTCTGATTCATTATCTCTGGAGTGGAATCCAAGAATTTGCAGTTCTAACAAGTTCCCAGATGACACAGATGCTGCTAGTCTAAGGATCACGCTTTGAGAACTACTTGATTAGAAGATTGAGAAGCTAGAGTCAAAAACTGTCAAATAACTTGTTCCAAAAAAGTGTGTGTGTGTCAGGTGTGGGGGTATAGTGATATAGGAGAGTTCAGGAAAGATATTTACCAAGCTCTAATGGTCGTCACTTCTGGGAGTGGGATTTAGGGGTTTGGGGAATTTACTTTTTTACCTTTCTATATTATTTTTGCATTATGCATATAATGCTTTTGTGTTTTAAAAAGGAAAGAAAAATCTTTTTTGAAGATACATACTAAAATATTTATGGAATTAAAAAAAGAGCTTGCTAAAGTAATCTAGTGTCATAGAACAAACATTTTTAGAGTGTCTGCTATATGCCAGATGCTGCTAGCTTCTGGAAATACAAAGCCTTTGCTAAAGCTTGCAGGCTAGTGATGGTGATTGAGATGGGCAGGAAACAACTTTACTTAGTGTCATGTAAGCTTCCTAAGAGCAGGGACCAGGGTGTAGCTCTGTGCTTGGCTGATAATTGGCACTTAGTAGATGATGAATGAATGAGCAAATCCAGGTAAGAATTGAACACAGAAGGAAGGAAAAAAAGGCCAAATGAGAGATTCTGGAAGAAAACGGCCAAGCTTGGATAGAAATGTTGAAGGGAAGGGGTGCATTGAAAAGAACTTTCAAGTACAAAGATTGATAACATTTTGGGTTTGCTGCAGGCTGGATGTCAGATTGTTTATTCTGAAAGATGCCCCCCCTTCTTCTTTAATAGCTCTTGAAAATAGTATACAAAAACTTAGCTGGCTTGATTATGGATATTTACCAGGTTTCAGGGCTTTCTTTGGTAAATGAATTTTTAAAAATCACAGTGCTAAATCTGTAAAACTAATGTATAATATTTACCTACAATTGTGCTCTCATTTATGTAAAATTAACTGATATAATGGAGGATGTTTTAAATGTCATACAAAAATGGTTAGTATTAGGTCTTTTACTTTTATCTCTTCAGTGAATGGGCCAGTAGTCTACTCAAAGTTCTGTGATATTTCTTATAGTACCTAACAGAATTTAACATATTATCAGTCGTAAATAAAAATTTGTTGGCCGGGCATGGTGGCTCACGCTTGTAACCCCAGCACTTTGGGAGGCCAAGGCAGGCAGATCATGAGGTCAGAAGTTTGAGACCAGGCTGGCCAACATGGCGAAATCCCATCTCTACTAAAAACACAAAAATTAGCCAGATGTGGTGGCATGCACCTGTAGTCCCAGCTATTTGGGAGGCTGAGGCAGGATAATCTGATTGCGGTGAGCCGAGATCACGGCATTGTACTCCAGCCTGGGCAACAAGAGCAAGACTCCATCTCAAAAAAAAAAAATTTGTTGTTGATGGCCGAATGGGATGCAATTTGGAGGAATACGGCTTCTTTGCATTCTGAATTGAATTCTGTATAAACACTAATTACAGTGGCAAACATTAATTAATGTTATTGATATGGAGCCGGTGTCCTCCCTGGATATGGGAAGAATGTATTATATGGAGTCTTTTTGTGTAGAGGTGCCACTTTTTATCTTCCTTAGAGATTTAATATAGTAAATTAAGATTAATTAATTAATTTATTATTATTATAATTTTTTAGAGACGGGGTTTCACCCTGTTGGCCAGGCTGGTCTCAAACTCCAGACCTCAGGTGATCCACCTGGCTTGGCCTCCCAAAGTGGTGGGATTACAGGTGTGAGCCACCAAGGCCGGCCAATTTATTTATTTTTTATTTATTTTTATTTTTATTTTTAAGAGATGGGGTTTCACCATGTTGGCCAGGCTGATCTCAAACTCCTGACCTCAGGTGACCCACCCGCCTTGGCCTCCCAAAGTGCTGGGATTACAGGCATGAGCCACCAAGCCCAGCCAATTTATTTATTTTTTATTTATTTTTATTTATTTATTTTTTTTTTTTAGAGATGGTGTTTCACCATGTTG